TAATAAATTAAGAATAGATCGCATTTAGTCTCTTACGCAACTTTCGCATTACCTTGATAAAATTAATTTCTAAAGATGTTTCTGAATTCGAGCAAAGTACAAAATGAGGGCAGATTAGAGTTTGGTTTCGAGGTAGATTGACAATGCAAAGATATTACTAAATGTTACTTGGATTAAAGAAAGTGAATACCACAATCGCTTACAGAATAATGTTTCTTGTCTGTCTTGATATGGTTATAGATTGATATAGACATGATCAAAATTTATTTTGGAATTTAGGCAGAGCATAGTTTGATAATACAATAAACTGTTGTCCAGGATGCTATAATTTACTTTTTTAACTACCAAAAAGGAAATACTCCTATCGTATAAAATACGATGCGACTTAAATCAACGTATCTGAATTTAGTATAGACATAAGTAAAGTTTGATTTACATATTTGAATATGGTACTTCTGGATCGATTGATTGATGCAAATAAAACATCTAAGATATTTTAAGAACTCTACAGATACCATGAAATGGAAAGTGTGATGGAATAAATAGGGAAGAAGGAGGAAACTTTGATGAAATACAGTGATTTAAATAGATATCATATAACATTAGAAATAACATCTTTGATATGAAGGTTAAGGTTTTCGATGATGACATTGATCATTTGCTATTTCCTAAAGTTTTCATTTACGTCGTTATAGCACTGATTAGGTTAATAGTATTGGATATTTTTGGGAGAATTAGGTTTTTGTAACATTTACCATAACTTTTAATTCCGGTGATTGTTTAAAAGATTTTCTCCGTGTCAGTCGTAGTTCTTCAGAGTGACCTGGTTACATCATTTTGATCGCTACATTATCATAATCGAACACCGGTCTATAGCTGACTTTTATGACATCTACAATTACATGATTTTGAGTTTAAATGACAAATACGGTAGGGCAAACACTATAGCAGTTGACGATTACACCTAAATAATCGAAACATAATTCGCTTTATTTTAATGAATAAAAAATTTCCTTTCTATAGAATGTTCCCGTAAGTCAAAATTATAAAATACGCACGAATACTTTCCTTCTAGTTGATTTTATCTAATGGCTGAAACAAAATCAGATTTCTTTAAACTGTCACTTTACTACAGCTAAATTAATAAAAAAAGTGATGTATAACTGGCCTTCCCTCGATCATACCGAGTACAGACATAAATTTTCTCGTTTTTTATTAGTGCAATGAGTCATGGAAAATGTTAAGATGATAGCGTGATTCTTGAAAGACTTTAAGGTAACTGTTTAAGATGCAAATTTAAGAAAACTAATGTTACCTTAACATTGGTTCAATTTAAATTGAGTCTTTGCCTGATCAAGCAGAAAATATAATTACTCTACCGTAATTAAAGTTAGGATAATTCAAACTTGGTTTAAGACTTAGTGTATTTAAACCTTACTTATCAATTGGACAATGACCAATTTTTATGTGAGTAAACTAACGCCGCTATTAATTTTTAAGCCAAATAGTGAATAAATATTTAATTTACTTCCTCCTAGACTACTGTTATGATTCTAGCAAATAAATATAATCTTTATGGTAATAGATCATTGACGCTCTTAAAAGGTTAAATTCGCGTTAAGACAATTCAATACCGAGAACTTATTTAAAGAAAGTAAACTCCCATTTTGATTCATACCATGCTCAAATGAGATACCTTATGTTAGGATACGTGATATTCAATTTATTAATTTAAGCACGAAAACCCATGTTATCATCATGATCGTCACATTGACTGTCATTTAACAAGTACCTTTATATCTATAAAGGACTCGTCAATCATTTCATGATATAAAAATATTAATTGTCGAGCATGTGAATAATCTTTTCTGACAGATCATTCTCAAAACCTTATTCTACTGCATTTAAATAGAGTATATGTGAATTACATAGTTTACTAAACATTGTAGCATATTTCATAGAAAAAGAAGTAGCTTCACTGCTACTTGTTTACGACGTTCTTAGGTTTCCTGACTACCAGTATTTCCAGCTAATAATGCAATTATTTTAGTCTAGAACCCTAATTGTAATATATCGTGGAAATTAGAAGATCGGCATTGATATATGCATATTAATTAGCTATTAACTTAAATTTATTCTGCATTTATCATTCACACCGATATAATTTTTCTACATATTTCAAAGCGAGAAATAGAAACTTCATATTGCCTCATACTTAATAAACTATCTTACGGATAGTGAACAAAAGATATGACGATTCTATCCTTTTCCTATGAGAAAAACTTTAAGTATGCTAACCTATTAATAAGAAATTGATATGAATTGAAATTACAATCAGTCATACTTTCGTTCTTCATCCGTCTCTTAAACATCTTTAACCGAAGTAATGTATTTAGCGAGAGGCGGTCAATATTTATCGATACAATTTACTCGGTGCTCATTATTCTCTTTATAAATGATGGATACATTACTTCAAAAATATTAATTTTTTCCTTGAGATGAATTTATTTTTAGTCCGTTAATTAGGAATAAAACTAAATTTTGTCATTACTAACAAAAGATATTTCCAATGGTCTAATAAATACTCCATGCAAAAAGTTAGATGTAGCAAGCAATTATTGCAATTAGTACTCTTCTGCTTAAGCAATCTATAGCTCTAAGAAGAGAAGGAAGTATAGCTATTTAAGACCATATGCTTTAAGCTAAGTTCCCATAATTTAAGAGTACTTCATTACAAATGTTGAACAAGCCTAACATAATGCAAATTGAAAATAGACCAATAGTTCGTTGTACGTCATTTATGGAACCTGAAATATTATAATAATATACATTAGTCATTACTTTGGGGTTGCTATTGTATTGATGCTTATAATAGGTCAGAATTTATCAGTCTCAAATTTGTTTTTTTAATTGTTAAATAGTATACAAGTGTTTCTATATAGACGTAGATATTTTTTAGCCTAATGGTGTAGGATATTCGTACGAGAATACAACTTGATATCTATTGCTTTATCATATACAGCAGGAGCAACGTCACAACTGATACTTGCATATTGTAATAAATGTAAGTGTTACCGAATATAAAGACTCAAATTAAGGTAAATACTTTAGATGAAAGCCAGAAGTTTATAGCACAGAGGATTTCACTCTCATACAGTAGTACGCTCTACTGTTAATTTGTAAGGTTTATTTTTCAGCTTATTTTTGATATCAGTAACTGCGCTTAGGAAGAAGAACAGTACTTTTTGAAATGTTCATAAATTACATAACCGTTGCAATATTTCTTTATTTTTGCCTAGAAAGTGACATCCGTAAAGATTTCTCCTTCTTTGCCATAACTTAAACATCTCAATTTAAAATGAGTAACCTCGTCACGAATATGCCAAGATTACTCAACCAAACTGGTTAGTAAAATTTGAACCATTAAAATATAGGTGGTAATTAAATATTTATATCGCAGTACATGATTACTTCTTTGCGGTGATTTTGAAGCACAATCTTAATAACGTAACGATGCAGTTTGTATGCGTGATCGCTCATCCTAAAACTAAAAATACTATCCAGCATACAATAGTAGATGACAAATTTAGTTGTTTTCAAAGTCGATCTTCAAAGCCACTACCTTTTTTTCTCCACAATTAATTAAAGCGGTTTGAAATTGAATAAACGATCAATCACATTAGTTCACTTTTTGTAGGAATATCTTTAACATATCCATAAGTGAAACTTAATTGCATCAAGTATAAGATTGCTATAAAATCAGATATTTTAAATCATCTTTAAGATTGATTTTATAGATCAATTTTATTCGTAACCAATTCATATTTCTAGTTTCATATATTATATTCCAAGGAATCAGTAATTAGACAATACAACTTACAAGAATAACGGAAAATAGAAAGAAATAGCTAATGATTTAGACAGCTGCCTAAAGCATATACCTTGATAATTAATCATGATCATCATAATAAATTTTAGTTTGAATTGACTTAAAGACTGCTGATAAGTTGCTTTAATTTTACTTGTCACTTTAAAATCATTTTAGTACATCCTAGAAGTACCTATTAATTTACGGTAGTCTTTAATGTAGGGAATGAAATACTATATTTTTTGTATCTGAATTATATTAGAATCGTTTCAGAGATTCATATCAAAGCCATTCGATTACTTATAAGCGTCAAAAATGATGATCGTGTTATGAAAATATCCATACAAAAAAATTAATTTAATAGGAACAGTTTATTTCTATCATTTATGATTTCATAAACCAAGATATTAATTAACATAGAGAAATTATAGCACTATTGAATGCTAGTAAAGATTTGAATTCTATCATGGAAACAAGATGCTATATACGCTATCTCGAGTTTTTGAAATCGAATTAAAGCAATCAATCAAATTTAATAACTTCACATTAATTTGTTATATTCATTCTATTATCGATACCGGTAGTTGCCTTATACTGTATGCAGCTTACACATACTGTGATACATACTACCCCTCAAAATTAATCTTTTAAACTTTATTATCTTATAACTTAAGTCAACTCTTAGATTTTTCATTTAATAGACTTATTCCTCGACACCTCGTTCACTTATAGTCAAGCTAAATTTTACGTTAGGTATTCAGTATGATAAGACCTTTAGTGGATAACTATTTAAGGTGTGTTTTGTTTGCTATTTACTACCGAAAATATCCGTAATAAGCTTTAAGAAAATATTAATTAAAAATAGAAGAAATGTGTATCTTAAAAAAAATTTCTTTATAACTATGCTAAAGGATGTTTTTAATCATTATCTTTAATAAAATTTATACTAGCTGTTATCATCTCAACGGAATACCTCATCAGTAGCCTTTTCACTATCATCACCAATGCATCATTATTGATATTCATCTTAACTCACAGCAGATTGAGGCAATGTAAGAATGCTATCGTATGTAGTACATCGATGGCAGGCATACTGTTTGCTTTATGCTATATATTGCCACGATTTGCTATCATGTATACTAATGGAATTCAGATATGGCCTCGAGATTACCGATGCGGCTTGCTATCAAGAATTGGACAGGCTATCTTTTTTAGCTTAAATGTCCATTTAATGATTCGAATACTTGAGATTTATGTCCAAGTTTGCTATCCATTTAAATCAAGTCGTTTGTTAACAACTCGGAATATTACTATTCTCCTATTTGTTGTATGGTCAGTCACAGCTAGTATACCGATTGGTATTCAAATCTTTGTCGAAGTTGGAGCTGCTTCAAATGTCTTTAATGCTGCTGCTTGTATTCTAGTATCATTTAAATTGTTAACCATATTTAGTATTATTCTAGCTATATTTTCCTTGATTGTGTTGATATTTTCAACGATAGCTTACATACGCGTTTTGTACATCACCAATCATGCCGTTCAACGAATACGTCATTTAAGTCATAGTATATCTGTTGCAATCAATCGCGAGATCAAGTATGAAAAGCGAGCTAAAGGTATCCGTCAAGCGTTAATCCTATTATTGGTTTATTTATTATCGATGATACCATTCCTAGTGTTGGTAATTTACAGTCAATTTTATTACAATTCATCAATTATTAGACCATGGCCGCCAGGATTGGTGACGGCTTTACGTCTATTTCAATACATTGCATTCTTATTTCCAGGCTTTCAACCATTTCTATTGGCATCGTTTACGGCAGATATAAGGGAAGAATTAGTTAAATATTATAATCAAAGAAGAATAACAAGATCTTCTAGATCGATTCCTTTAAGTGTAACACCACCTGGTTGATTCAAGAAATTTTCTTACGTATTGAATTAAGTTTGATTGAAATGAGTTCATTCGTTCCTAATTATTGTTTTATAGGATGAAATTATTAATTTCCGTTAGCGTACATAAACGTTGGTTTGCAAATTAATGATATCATGTCATTTAATTTCATAACATAATCAATTAATTAAATTTATTGATTGAAACTAAGTATTAATATATATGACTAAGATTACAAGAAATTTTAATTATTTTTTATATTGTACGGCACGATAAAAGTTGTTTCTTGTAGACCACAATTCTATTTTGACGTCAGCATAGGCCGATTAATTGACCATATAAGAATACATTGATTTTCTCTATACTTTATATATTAGAAGATCGTAAGCCACAATGTAGTTGTACTTGTACCGTATCAGCAATGGCTAAAACATGATTTGCATAAAATAATCGTAATTACTTAGATTTCAATAAGCGCTATACGAGCAGTCTAAATTCAACAAACTTCACAAAATCAGTCGCTGGCGTTATCATTATTGAATGTGTAGCTCAAATGTTCAGATACTATTAGTTGTTTCTTAGATTTGAGAATAATCTAGTCATGAGCTAGGAATTCAAATAGACTCAGTATCAATCAACAATTTAATGATATATAATTAAAGTCACCCTAAGAAATATACAAGGAAGTAGATCATACACTATTACAATGTTCTTTATCCATAATAAATAAATTATTGCAAGTAAATTACTTAAAATAATATCCATGCAAAAAGTAGATTATGAATTGTATTACTAACTGCAATGTGCGAGTCTCTTTCTTTCATTTATTTATATTTGATGGCTTAAAAAATTATAATGATCAATCATAGGATTAGAGCAACACACAAAATTGAAATCGGATGCTGACATGTCAGACTTATCCAAATTTCATTTTAAATATAGTTCGGTTCCATAGATGCCAATATGATAATTTGATGGTACTAATTAGTTGCCGTCATTTTTCACTGTTGAAATTGGCGTAGATTAATAAAAAAATAAATATTAAATACTCTATGCCTAAATTTGTCAGTTTTGAATTTTTTCTCTAAACTGCAAATTGAAGCACAATTGATATAATACATTTCGCGGGTGTAATTTCCTATACAATAACTAGCTTTCAACTTTTATTTAATAGAGGCATTCCATACCATATAATTCTGGAACTTTCGTATAAAATAAACACTAATTAATTACGGTAATTATTAATAAATTCTTAAATATAGATACGTTATCAGGAAATATCATAGTTTAGCAGTTTTTAACATCAAACCATGAAAGAAGCACTAGCCTGGTACAGATTTGTAACTGGTAAGGACTAGAGCCATCTGTTTATGTTTATTATTCGTAGGATGTTGTTTATTGGTATATTGATGACGTCGTACCTTATACTGTCGAAGTTTTGTTGAAAATTTATAAGCAACTCGTACTCAGCAGCTAAAATAGCTCATGTACTATCTCGATTTTTATATTTAAAGCTTGGCATTTAAAATTTGTATAGAAGTCATGTTCTGTGCTCATACTATGTAGCAATTAAATATGAATATCAGCTGTTTTGAATGATTCAATCCGCAATCATTTCGTAAGCGTCGCATCATACGTTATAATTTTGACATCATGATAGCAAACTACTTCAAAGTGGGGGAGAATATTCTCACTTTGTGTATATTACATTGATAATTGCATGTATATTGGATTTACGAATTATCTATCAATACCTGTACGTGTGATATAAGAGTTTTTCAAGGCACAGATATCATCTTTGATACTTTATCTCGCATTTTTATACGATATAATACTAAGCCATGGTATCTTTCTGTCGATCTGTTTCTTTAAGATTATATATCCATTATTTGGCATCATATTACCAATAATTTGATATTTATGATCATATAATGTAATCTAGTCTAGTAAATCAAAACAGTAGCAGTAAAGTACATGAGATTTTGTCCGGGCTGTTTTAGCTTGTTGTATCGAAGGAGATCGTACTAATGCCTAACTAATTACCACTCAATTTAAGAGTGGTGACATATTTAATAAAAAAATCTGAAAAATCAATAGAAATACAATGAAGCCACCCGATTTTTAGGGTATCGCAGAGCCCGGGCTGTTATGGTTTGTTATCTAAGGAGAGAAACAGTTATTACAGGTTGTAATTAATGCCCAACTATTTACCCTTCAAATTACATAATTATGATCTATTTTAAGATAAAAATTTATAAAAAATACAAAAAAAACACCTAATTTTTAGGGTATCACAGAGTTTGGCTTTATGATTGTTGTTTCGATTATCAAAATCTATAACGAGATATTAACAAGAATTTCAAGCCTTATATAACTAACATTTCCAGGGTATAGTGAAGAATGGAAAAAATGGAAAAACTTGATTGACATGTAAAAATAGTACTTAAGAACTGCAAATAGGTAAATATAACTCAGAAAATTTTCCAGTGAAATTTATTTACTCGACTTTTAGATTATACGGCAGTTTATTGAGAGTTTGGTAAGGAATATAAATTTTAAATTCAGTTTGACAAATCGCACGTGTGAATGTCTGCCACTACATTATAACAAATTGTAGGTCATGGTGGCTAGACTATTTGATAATAACTTTAAATCCTGATAGTAAATTCTATATTCGAACTGCAGGTTGATCGGTATACTGTATAATAAACCGAACGAATATGGAATTACTAATGTAGTATTGTAGTTCTGCTAAGCAGCACCCTAGGGAATATTGTACAATAAAATACTGAGAATAGACTTACAAGTAGGTCTATTAATATGGATTTCATGTCTTGTATAAAAGTGAGTCTACACCGTATCGAATACGGTATTGCAATAGTTGTCGGAACGGAAATGCAGGTAATCGTTCTTAGCTATGCCTATTGGGATACGAACGATTAGGTTGATATAGTAACTGTAGAAACTGAGTAATTTTCCTGTAAAATTATAAAAGTAAATCCATAGCTAAAGAGCTTGCAATTTATGTGGACTTTAACTTTAAGTAAGAGTCATTCAATAGGATGATGGGAAAATGTATAGCAAAAATTGTGAACGTACATTGTACTTCTTGCACCTGTTACAATGCTGCAATCCATTAAATGATTGTTCCATGATGATTTCTAGGACTATATGCATAACTACAGCAAACTAAGAATAACAAACATAATGATCTAGTTGCGCTCATGTTGCAACTTTTGACATAAAATGCTTGTTCGTAGTATAGGAGGATTTTGCTGTATAGATGGTGTGCTAATAGCACTAACACTTATTAAAATAGATGAGGGCAGAATATACAGGTATGATAAAAAATTGTGAGAAAAGATTGCATTCCTTGCACATATTACAAAGTTGTAGTTCATAATCGTTTCACGATGATTTGTACATCTTCCATAATGCATGAGTACTTTTCTAATGACATTAACCATTTTTTGCCAAAGTCTACCGGAACAAGTTTATTTAATGTAATTAATAATTAAATGACTATCTTAAATTATTATATCGTGACGCCGATTCTTAATTAAACAAGCTCGTAAGCTAATCTTGCTGTTAACCCTGTAAATAGGGGATGGCGATGAAATTAAATGTGAATTCAATGATGATCTAAGCAATATACGTGTACTAGAAAGTAAGGGCAGCAAACATAATCCTCTAGTCACGCATTATGTTGCAAGAAATGGCATAAAATGTCTGCTAGTAGTATAGGAAGATTTTTCAATATGGATAATGTGCTAATAATAAAAATGATTCTACAAAAGCTCATGCTAGTACAGTTTATAAGTCTGATAATAACAGGGTAAATTTAATTAAAAATTATGGCTAAATCTAGTGGTTGGACTAGGTATGGAGTATGAAGAAAGAATAGCGATTAAAATATTCTTTTTCTTATACACAGGAAAAGAAAACTTATACAATAATCATACAAGCTTAACGACCAACTGGAATAGTTTTTCCATCTGTTCTGCTATATTTAGTACCATGATGCCGTATGCGAACTGTAAGGAATCTTATGAGCTATTGTGGTTACGAGACTTTTCATGCTACCTTTTGAATGATAAGTCAACAACTAATTTAATTGTATTACTCATTCTAGTATAATCGATATCACTGAAACAATCGCAATCGAATCCCTACAGACAAATGTTATTGACATTCGATTTAAATCAATCAATATTATTGACAAGGAGGTTGAGGGCAAATAGAATAAATTATATATTTCTATATACCATTGGTGTTATTATTCAAATTTTGTAAAGGCAATAGAGAATGTTTAAAATAGAGATATTATGTAGCAATAATAGTGTTGTCGCCAATCAGAATGATGGATCGTGCTTTGGATATAAGAAACTTAACGATGATTTGATCTATTGATCAGCTATCCTGTTGTAGTTTACGGGCCAACACTATTTCAGAACCGATGAATTGAATTCGACGTGGTACTATTTGCATGCTAAAAAAGAATTTATCTTCCTCTGCTTGCTAAATACGATACAGCTGGAGAACGTCATTTTTAATTCCATTCGACCAATTAGCCATCACTGACAATACAAAGTTAAACACTTGAATCATCGCAGAAAATATTCTACACAATCTAAATCGTTGGAGATTTCCATCATCCTTCTATTTCTGAATTTTCAAGCATACTTCAAACAGAGGATAACTAATATGGATTTTGTGATTGAACATGACGAGTGACAAAACACATAAATGTAAGATTATTGTTACATCGTAGGGCGTCTAATTGGATAATTTAATTTTTCATAATTCACATATCGATATGAAATTAGAGACTAGCTAACTTCCTGGTGTTCATTTTTAACTTGCTTTGCGACTTGTTTATTATCTAATTTGACAACTATCCTCTACTTAACACCGAGGTGCTTCAATGGGGCATGTCCTCTTTATTTTAAACGTAATGTTCAGCATATATTCGATCAGCTATTCGATTTCGAATGGATGATTATCCATCAGGGATTTCGTAC